AAATAGTGGTCGGTGTGGGTTTCTTTTCTGAACACATCTGTAGTGATGGTGTTGTCTGGATTCCTGACCATCATGACATCCAGCATGGGGAGACGGTTGTCTTGTTCCCTCTCAATAGTGAACTTGATACTGTCATGCTGCGTGTTGATGTGATCGAAGAGTTCCTGTTCATGTTCCTGTCTGTTCACAACGCCGGTGTCGTCTACATACCTCCCCCAGAACTTGGGGCGGTGTGGAGCAGTGTGTAGAGCTTTCCTCTCGAACTCCTCCATGAACAGGTTCGCTAACACAGGGGACAATGGAGAACCCATCGCCATGCCAAAGGTCTGATCGTAGATAACATCATTGTACTGAAAGTACGTAGTGCTAACCACCAGGAGGAGGAGCTCACCAAATTCTTTGGGGGTTAACAAGGTACGATCTTTCCAGGTGGGATCCTTCTCTGCTCTACTGACTGCCATCCCGACGACCTCCTTCCCTGGAACACTAGTGAAGAGGGCTGTGACATCAAAAGATGTGAGTACCTCTCCATCTTCGAGTGTCACCTCTCGGATCTTAGTGACCAAGTCCAAAGAGTTCTTGATGTGTTCCTCTGACTGTCCCACAAGGGGCTTAAGCAGGTCCGCTAGATGTCTAGCTAGGTGGTAGGTGATGGAATTAATCCCAGACACTATAGGTCTCATCTTGAGAGGGTTCTTATGTATCTTGGGTGTAGCATAGAACCTCGGGGTAGCATCAGATGTAGGGTACACTTTGTCATAAACCTTGGGGTCAAGGTGGCCTGCTTTCTTAATCTCCCTAAGTTTTCTCTGTAGCCTGCCTTTAAGTTTCTTCGTGGGGTTCACAGGGCCAATGACCTTATAAGTGTCCTTATCTTCTAGCAACTTTTCGCATTTTTCCACGTAGTCTGTTTTGTCCATAACAACAACCGCTTTCCCCTTATCTGCCGGGACGATAACAATGTCCTTATTTTCTTTAAGGGATTTTACAGCTTCTCTCTCCTCCCTAGAAAGGTTGGGTTTCGGGGGTTTGGAATTCTGCAGGATTCCTACCACCTCATTTCTCAACAAAGCAGCATCTTCCTGGTCAAGTTTCTGACAGGCCACCTCCGTGGCCGTGACGATCTCTTTGACAGGAATAGCGCTAGGGGCGATCGCAAAATTCAGACCTTTTCCTAAGACACGCATCTCACTGGGGGTAGGTTTGTACTTGGAGAGGACCCTTACCCATTTCTTGAGCTGTGTGCCGGACAAGTCGATGTTTTCCTTGTCCTGGCGATGTGGAATTCCTTCGAGTTTGGCGGTCTTCAGTGTCTCCAATTTTCTAATCTGCGCCATTTTGGAACGTTGGAATGTCGTTTCCTGTGACCTCTGCACATGCGCACTGACTCTATCAAACATGTCCGGGTTACCGGCGCCATGACACCGGTTGCGCAAGACCTGTTCGTACTGTTGACACTTTTGCGTAAGTTGCTGGACTTTATGATGCGTCAAATGTATGCGTTCCCGTAATAACGCTTTTTCCGCACGGTGTATAATCCGTCGGGCATTGTTCGACTGTACCGTAGACTTAAGCTTCAAACTAACCGGTGTTACATCGAGATCTTTGCAGCGAAGATTAAACCTAAGATGGTTGCGGTGACGGGCAAGTTGGTCGGCGGTTTTTTCCCAGATCCTGACCGAATGCAAGCCTTCATTTCTAAACTTCGTACGAATATCGTTGAAGAGATTCAGACTTGCATCGGGGGGTGGGACCCGACAGACCGATGCAAGTCTCGGGCCTAGTCTCGCGCTCTCGCGAGATTAGGCCACTCCGTGAACAAGATGGACTGATAGCCATCGAAAATTTGGAGGTTAGTATCCTTATCCTTCCAAAGTTGTCACTGATGAAAGAATTCACTAGGAACTGTATCTGTACGTGACAAATGAATCTCTTCAATAATAACACGTTGTATTGGCGCCGTAAGCCTATCCTTCCATGACAGAACCACCGTTGCTGGCTTTTTTCAGGTGTTTTCTTCCAAAAGTTCACTCAAATTCTAGTGCTGCTAATTTTTTCCTAAGTAAATGTTATATGATTCAGTCATCAGAAGAACATTGCATACCTTGTCTAAAAGTAATGATAATGAATAAAACTGTGCATGTTCTATTGGTACGTCGTCTTCTTGTGTGACGGATCCAACTTTTCGAAATACGTTTTGTCTTCCAAACATTTAAAACCATGTGTTGCCCGTTTTTTACCCAAGTAATGTTCAATGATCCTGCCATCAGAATGACATCGTGTACCTGTACAATGTGTCGCTATAAATAACAATTATGATAATAAAAGTAATGAAAAATATGAATATTGTTTTGGCAGAGCGTCTAATTCTACCACAGAATCACAATTTCTGAAGTTGCTACCTTTGAAATATTCAGATAAACGTACATCTGATTGTTGCCCTTATTTTCATCAAGTAAACTTGATATCATTACCATTAGAAGGAAATTGTGTGCTTCGTCTAAAAAAACTAATAACAAACTCCGCATGTTCTATTAGCACAGCGTCTACGTCCGTGACCGACCACTATTTCTTAAGACTTGCTCAATTTGTTGTCTCTTAAATTCACTTCATTCGAGTGTTGTCAATTTTTACCAACTAAACCTGACTTGATTCTTCCACCAGAAGCACATTGTGTTCCTGTACATTGTATCGCAATAAGTAAAAATAATGATAATAATGAAAATGATAAAATGAAAGCAATAAGATATAGATATTCTATTTGCACAGCGTCTACTTCTATGGCCGTGGTGGGACTCTCTTCCGTCGCCTATGGATATTCTGAAAAAAAAAACAGGTTTATAAGGGATGAGCTGTGGAATGATTTAGTTAAGACTTGGTTTGTAACAGGAGCAATGATGGTCTGCCGCCTATCTTTCCGTACCATGTTTACAATAGATGGAAGGTTTTCAGGAATAGTGTGAATACAATAAATACCTGGAATAGCCTGGCATATGAAGTGCTTCTGACCGTAGCAGTTATCGTCGTTCCACTTGTCTTTCATGTGAGGGATTGCGGTGTAAGCGACGCAATCTTCGTTCAATAGGTGGTTCGGTTCTCCCGGACCCCAGGAGGTGTACGACCCAAGTGCAGAACCGTCCACCCACTCAAACCTTCCCTCTTCGCGCTGATCGTGCAGGCCGATCCAGAAGTCCCGATCGTCGCTCACGGACTTGTACAGGGAGACGAGGAAGGCGTTGGTGCCAGCGTCTCGGGGCATGGCGAGGATGCCGCCGTCTGCACGACAGGCCGCGCCCGCTTCGCTGAAGGACGTGGATGTGTTGAAGGCCTTGTAGCAGGTTCCACACCAGATTGTGTAACCTTGAGGACAAGATGCTTGAAAACAAGTTTTGTATCAATGGATGTTAAAGATAATAGAATAGGGCAATAAATGCTTCATCAACAATCAATCTAACCTAGCGGTTGTGTTTAAAATTTCATAATCATTATGACAAGCTAAACGCGGTGTTTTAAAGGCGACATACACCCCCGACACACATGCACACACACGCACACACAGACACGCACACAAGCGCGCGCACACCCACCCACACCCACACAAACCACCGCACATACACACACACACACAAACTCAGAGAAGCGCACACACACACAAAGAAGCAGACACACACAAGCACATAAGAACACACACACAAGCACACACACAAGCACACACACATGCGCGTGCGCACACACATGTTCACACATACACACGCACGCACACACACACGCACACACACACACACACAGACAGAGAGAGAGACTCACACACACGCACACATAAACACGCACACACACACGCACGCACACAGACACTCACAGAAACAGGCACACATGCTAACTACTGATTTTCTCAAAAAGACTAACATGAAGAGCCAACATAACAGCTGAAAACCAATTTACGTACGCTTCTCCAAAGCAGCGTTGCAAAGTTGGCGCATGTCGTCTCGGTCGCGTTTCAAGGCGTCAACAGTGGTGACAAGTCGGCGCATTTCGTTGAGGTCCTGTTTCAATGCGTCAACAGTGTTTAACAGTCGGCGCATGTCGTCTTGGTCGCGCTTCAAGTCGTCTTGATCGCGTTTCAAGACGTCAACAGCGGTGGACAATTGAGATATTTCCTAAAAATGTATTTACGTACATCAGAATACAGAACGTAAGAAACAAACTTACGACACAGAAGCAAATTATCTTTTGTTCCGTCTTAAAGAAAAAAATATATATAATGAAGATTAGAAAAAACTGGTTGAACAACAGGTTTATGGAACAGGACTGTAACCTCCTTATGTTACCTGTTTGTTGCTGAACGTCAGAGGGGCGATTCCCAAGGCGCCTAGGCTCAGGAGCACGGCGATTCCGGCGGCCAGGCAGATGCGGCGGGCGCGGAGGAAGCCACAAACACCCCGGAGGCCGCTCGCTCCACCCGGATACGCGCCGTCTGGTAGGAAAAACATATATACTTAACTCAGGTTATTGTTTACGTCAACATTTACGCATAGTGATTCTCATTTTAAACAAATTTACACATGTCAAGAGTATGAAATGCCTCCTTTTTACCACTAGAAAAAATAGCATTATTGTATTCATTTTGCAAATCAGACCACTATTTGCATAATTGGTGCCTGGTAATGTTCAACCTGCCATACATTACATATGTATTGAAATTCCATTATGAAAAGCAATGAAATTTAATGATTTCTTTATTACTTATGCCAATTTTAAACCTTTTACCTGGTACGGGGGCGCACGTGTCGGGTGGGTTTTCATCGTCGTTCACACGGTCCTGGTAATCAGTCTGGGGTTGGTCCATGGGTGGGTCGGCTGGGCGAAAAAAAACAAAGATGTGATATAGTCATTTGTGAAAAAAATACAAAACTAACGGCTCTTAACGATTCAACTGAACAGCAAAGTACAAAAAAGTTTTTTATTAATAATGGAACTATCTGCATATATTATTGATATGGTTTTTGTTAATCGAAACAGCTTGGCCAGTTCCCTGTTTGAAAATTTGACCTCAGCTTTAGGAGGTAAAGGAATAGTTCTTCGGTATTGCAGTGTATTGCAGTGCTTTCTTTCGTGCTTAGAAATAATGCTTTTGGTGGATTACTAAGCTGTGGACTACTCTTGATAAAGTATTTTATAAAGTATTTTTGGAAGAAAGAAAGAAAGAAAGAAAGAAAGAAAGAAAGAAAGAAAGAAAGAAAGAAAGAAAGAAAGAAAGAAAGAAAAAAAGAAAGAAAGAAAGAAAGAAAGAAAGAAAGTTTTCAACAAAAACGTACCTAAGTACGTGAATATTAATAGTATAACAGATCAATCACATAAGGTACACGTTGCTTTACAATCTCAAAACAAAAACAGGATGCAAGAAAAGAGAGAAAGTCAAAACGTTTTACCTGGTATGTTGGCGTACGTGGTGTCCGGTGTGTTTTCATCGTCGTTCGCACGTGCCTGGTAATCAGTCTGGGGCTGGTCCATTGATGGGTCGGCTGGGGAAAGATAAGATGTAATATTTTATTTTATATATAGGCATTATTAAAAAGTATTGGGTCTTAACCCTACCTAGACCGGGCTTTGCTGAATGACATCCAGTAAATTTCTAGCGGGGACCAATCAGAGGGCTGCTGAATAATTTGAATAATTTATCAAGGCCCACGGACGCGGTTCTTTCACTTGTAAAGTAGCCAATTACCACCAAGCCGGTGGCACACGATATGGGCGAAAACATGTATTTCACACCCATTGTACGTCGACATAAAGGGCTTATACATTACAAACAGAATTTTCGTAGGACTGCCATTACTTTAGTTTGCAGCATGTGTATTGAGAACGAGTATCTTCATAATTCTGCTGGCTCTTTGTAGAAGAACGGCGGAATAAAACAGTTTTCAATACCAACACGACTTAGCAGATAACACGTAATGAAGCCCACTTTTTACGTAGATTGTAGCACTACGTAATGTTACACAAACTAACAGTAGATGTTTTAAGGAATTCACAGAAATGACAATGATAGATAATGTAACGCATATACATTATACAGCACAAAATAAAGAGTAACAGTAATGTAGTCGTCTTTGGCCGGGTATGGCAAGTTATAGTACGTACATGTATCGGCTCAATCTTTAACGGGTAAGTTGACAGCAACAAGCAAGATGCATAGGTTCTATTACTTTTGTAGCTCACTACTTGCGTCTAGATTTGGGACGAACCCGTATTACTTTTTCGCCGCAGTTTTTCATGTAGTGGTTACTTCGACAGCCTTTCCGCTTACGCAAACATACTAGTTTGAGGTTCCACAGTTCTTACAACGTTAGCGCTTGAAGTGGTGTTTTCCAAGTTTGTTGGTCTGGTGATGTTGTCTTTGTTGGCTTGTTGTCTGTCATTTCCCTCCATTTTTATGTTTGGCGGCCCGTCTTCGATGGGTTGGGTTTGCTTCACAAATCTCGGCTTCGCTAAGATCCGTTCCTTCCCGTACGTAGTGGTCGCTCCATTAGCGCTAGTGCAGCCACATTTGAATGTGTAAAACTTAATGTCTACAGTCCCGTTTTGATTCGTTCATCAAAGTAGATTTTACTAAGGTATGACTTTACTAACTGATTGTGGAAGTACTAGTACTTAGTACTGATGTAAGCAAGAAACAATATACGCGCTCTGGTTGAGTTCATGGCATTTACATGAAACAAGGTGCTAATAGCCGCTAGTCGGTGACGCGTCAGCAGCCCTATGATTGGTCCCCGC